ATCAAAATATCCATTCAAGTAATGATTATGTTCCGAATTAGATGTTACGGCAGAATAGAGAGTTATAATACTACATCAACATCTCTTTTTCACTTTTCAGTTTAAACTTCTAAGCAAAAGATCAAGATAACCTTAAATCTATGTAGACACATTTTGCTTTAAGTGATGCACACGGAAAATTTGAGATCTCAGTGAAAAATTCTACTCTTGTATCAAGAAGTTCCTGATCAATAAATTGTCGATCTATTAGCATTCTCTCCAACACCGGTGAGTTGGCTAACAAAAGCTTGATAAACTGCATCTCAGACATTCTTCCTATAAAATTTTCTAGCTTAACTCCCTCGAGGTGATCAAATGTCATGTCCGGTAAACTTTCGAGTTCAAATAATTCTTCAGTATCACTATATATCATCTTCATCGAAAACCTAAGAAAGATAACACGAAGTCAACTCTCAGATTATTGAGGAACCAAAAAGTACGACAAATGACCCTATAAGGAAAAAAAGAGTTAAAGCACTACAAACCAGCATATCGAATTATTTCAAATATGGGAGGCTTCTTATCAAGAAAAGAACGTATGAGAGCTTATATGATTCCACCACCAAAATGCCAGGTAGGTAAAATCAGTTGACACTGTCAGAATTAAAGGAAAGTTTTGTTGATGCTTCATATCCTTCTTCACTTATCTTAGTTCATTGTTGAAGAAGAATATGAAGCACCAACAAGGCTTCCCTTTAATCCTAACAATGTCAAACGATTTTACCTGCCTGATATTTTGTTGGTGGAATCATATAAGCTCTCATATGCTCTTTGCTTGATAAGAAGTTCCTATATTTGGAATATCTCGAAATGCAGGTTTGTAGTGTATTATCTCTTTTTTTCCTTAGTTACTGGTTATTTATCGTACTTTTTGGCTCCTCAAAATCTGAGAGTTAACTTCTTGTTATGTTGCTTAGATTTTCGATGAAGATGATAGTGATACTGAAGAATCACTTGATGAACTCAAAGGTTTGTCGGACATGACATTATATTCCTGCCTTTTGTTTCAGATTTCTTTTTGTTTCATAGATCTCAACCAACAAAGAAAAATAATAGATATTTTCATGTAGCTTCAGTTTGCTTTTACTAAAATCTATTCATTTTAAGTAATAAAATAGATAAACATAAGGAGTGTGTTTGGTATGAAGGAAAACATTTTCTGAAAAATGTTTTCCAATTTTCTCATGTTTGGTTGGGTTAAATGTTTTGGAAAATGTTTTCCGAATCAACTCATTTTCCTCAAATTTAAGGAAAATGACTTCCCTTCAAAACTTACGAAAAACATTTTCCAAAACTCTCTTCCAACTTTAAACTACAATTATTTTTTTGTTGAAAAACTCAATTTATTTTGTCCCTACCCTCAAACCAGCCCCACAACCAACCCCCCCAAAAAAATAATAATTTAAAGCTTGTTTTTAGATTCAATTTTTTTACCCACCCTCACCCCTACCCCTACCCCCACCCCCTCCCAAAAAAATATTAAAAATTATTTTTAAAAGATATTTCTAATTTCATTTTTTTTCTTTTTTACCCCCATCCACTGCCCTCGCTAGGGCTGGGCAAAAACACCGAAAAACTGAAATACCGAACCGAACCGAACTATTTTGGTTTCGGTTTTCGGTTCAATATTCGGTGTATGTTTTTGTATTTTTCGGTATTTCGGTTCGGTTTTCGGTATGTAATTTTTGTATTATTCGATATTTCAGTGTATCGAAATATATTATATTAAATAATAAATATTATAATTTTAATTAAATTAGGTCAAAACTCTTTAAACCTTTTGGTCTTTTCAATTTTTTTACTTTACTAAATTCTAACTTTCTAAGCTATAGCAGCAGCCAGCAGCCGCACAACCAGCAACAGCCGGCGACCAGCAGGCAACAACCAGCAGCAGTCGGCAACCAGCAGGCGACAACCAGCAGCCGCCAGTTCCGTCGACCAGCACTAGCAGCCGCCAGTCCCGTCGACCAGCAGCACGCACAGCAGTAGCAACCGCCAACCACCAGCCCCAGTCGACCAGCAGCAGTTGGCGACTGCCAGGCGACAACCATCAACTTTCAGGTATTTTTTTCTTATAAATATATAAAAATAATTTTAAGTTTTTAACTTGCATTTAGTCAATTACTTGAGAATATTTTAGTGCATTTGGATTTTGATCTATCCATTAAAATAAACTAATAAAGATTTCAGATTTGTATATTTTTAATTTTTATATTTAAATTTTATTTTTTTATTTTGATTTGCTCATTTGTATAATTGTAATATTGTATTTTCTAGCAAAGGGTCAAATCTCAGACAAAAAAAAAAAGAGCAAAAGTAATAAAGAAAAAGAAATCACAATGAAAAAATGTATCCAATTATCATTTTCTTTTCGTTATTTGCTCCTTAATATTCTAAGTGTGAATTCATTGTGAAATAGTTTTTTTATTATATAGATGGCTGAACAAAATCAATCAAATGTGGGTGTGGCTAATCAAAGTCGAATAAGTATGGCTGATTCTACGGATAATACACCTACTACTAGCAATGATGCCTCAATTGGCACAGAGGAAACAAAAAAAAGAAAAGAAATGGATCCTAGGTCTACTGTTTGGCAACACTTCGAAAAAAAATTTGAAAATGGTTTATTAGTTAAAGAAAAGTATTTACATTGTAAACAAAACTATGCTGCTAATACAACTAGAAATGGAACAAGTGGACTGAGACAACATTTGACTAACCGACGTAAAGTGTATAAGCCCCCGCCTATTGCACCTGGCATTCAAAAATTGTTAAATATTCAAAGTAACAGTTCTTCGATAGAGACTTGGAAATTTGAGCAAGAGGTATGTAGGAGAGCTTTAGTTGAGATGATAATTTTGGATGAACTACCTTTTAGTTTTGTTGAAAAAGAAGGCTTTAAGAAGTTTATGAGTAAAGTTCAACCTTTGTTTCGGATTCCTTCTCGTAGAACCATAACAAGTGATTCTTATGAAGTTTATGGTGAATTGAGAATGAGTTTGAAAATGTCTTTTAGAGAAATACAACCAAGAATTTGTCTCACAACAGACACATGGACCTCGGTGCAAAGAATCAATTTTATGTGTTTGACTGCTCATTTTATTGATAGGGATTGGGTGCTTCATAAAAGAATATTGAATTTTTGTCCTATCACTAGTCATAAAGGTGAGCATTTGGCTGAGTGTATTAGTAATTGTTTACTTGATTGGAACTTGGACAATGTTTTTACTGTTACGATTGATAATGCCTCTTCAAATGATGTGGCAGTTTTAGAGTTGTCCAAAAAATTAGATATGTGGGGAACTAATATGATGGAAGGTAAGCATCTCCATGTGAGATGTATGGCTCACATACTTAATTTAATTGTGCAAGATGGTTTGAAAGAAATTGGTCATTCTATCAAACGGGTGAGACAAGTGGTGAAATATGTTAGATCATCTTCTACAAGGACAAGAAACTTCTTGAAATGTGTTGAAATGCAAAAAATAGAATGTGATAAAATGTTGTCTTTAGATGTGCCTACTAGGTGGAATTCCACCTATTTGATGTTGGACACGGCAGAAAAATTTGAAAAGGCTTTTGAGAGATTTGATCTTTATGATGATAATTTTAATTCTTTTCTTGCTACTGATGTTTGTGAAGATGGGAGTATTGTAGGTTCAATTCAATATGAGGATTGGGCTAATGTGAGGAATATCACAAAGTTTCTTGAAAAATTTTATGAGCTCACATTGAAAGTTTCAGGTTCACGATATATTACTTGTAATGTTCATTTTGAAGATATATGTGAGCTTGATGCATACTTGAAAGTATGTATGACAAGTGATGATGTTGATTTGAGTAAAATGGCTTCGGGGATGAAAGAAAAGTTCAAGAAATATTGGGGTACTCCTGAAAAGATGAACAAAATGCTTTTTATTGCTTCTGTTTTGGATCCTAGCAATAAATTTATGTATGTTAGTTTTTCTCATGAAGAATTACTTGGGGAAGAAAAGGGACAGATAGTGAATAATGAAGTAAATGCTTACTTAAAGAATTTGTTTGCGATATATGTAAGTAGGTATGCAAAAGGTTCTAAAAATCAATCATCTTCATCTGACTCCTCTGATTCATCTACTTATGGTCTTTCTCAAAATGTGAAAACAAATTCTTTGAGAACTAAGTTTTACATGAAGAAACAAAAGGAAGATTTTGGAAGTTTAGGTGTTAAATCTGAGTTGGATAGATATCTTCTTGAAGACCAAGAGGCTGAATCTGAGGATTTTGATATTTTGATTTGGTGGAAAGTTAATTCTCCTAGATTTCCTATACTTTCACAGTTGGCTCGAGATGTATTGGCTATTCCTATGTCGAGTGTGGCATCGGAATGTGCATTTAGCACGGGTGGTCGTATTCTTGATCCCTTTAGAAGTTCATTGACTCCCAAATGTGTGCAATGCCTTATGTGTGTTCAATATTGGCTTAGACAAGAAACTAAGTCTATTTGTGTTGAAGAAAGTTTGGAGTTTCTTGAAAAAATTGAACTTGGTAAGACTTTTTATTTTTTTATTTGTTTTTGGAAAAAATAAAAGACTTATTGTGTTGTATGACATATTTGATTTTCTTATTTATAGAGATGGCAAATAGTGGAAGAAACTCTTCCATTGTTGATCTATGATTGGCTTGCAAGTCTCAAGTATTTAATAGTGGTAAGTTTAATACGTCATTTATTTAATCATATCATTTTTTTTAATCTTAAAAGTAGTATTCTAACATTAATTTTATTTCAAGTATTTAATAGTGGTGAGTTTAATACGTCATTTATTTAATCATATCATTTTTTTTAATCTTAAAAGTAGTATTCTAACATTAATTTTATTTTAAAAGGTCCAAAGTCGAGACAATGAAGAAAGGTGTAAAGTACCAAGTTTTGTTAGTGTTTTGGTAATTTTGTTGGCACTTGAGACTTCAAAGTGGTCTCATGGAAGAAAGTCAAGAAACTACATTGTTGCTCATTATTGTTATTTGTTATTGTTGGCACTTGAAACTTGAAAGTGGTCTCATGGAAGAGGCTACATTGTTTGTTGTTCATTATTGTTGTTTGTTATTGTTGGCACTTGAAACTTGAACGTGGTCTCATGGAAGAGGCAACATTGTTTATTGTTTGTTATTGTTGACACTTGAAACTTAAAGGTGGTCTCATGGAAGAGGCTACATTGTTTGTTGCTCATTATTGTTGTTTGTTATTGTTGGCACTTGAAACTTGAAAGTGGTCTCATGAAAACTACATTGGTGCATTATTGTTACTTGTTAGATTATTATTTTGTTGTTGAAGTGTAGTGAAGTTTATTTACTTGTTAAATTGTTACTTGTTACTTGTTAGTGCCTTTTGACCTATTTGATAGTGCCTTTTAGGCCTAAAACTGCCACATCATTTCGTATTATTCTGAGGATTCATTCATTTTGATTCGATTTTTTAGGGGGATAAAAATGGATTTAAATGTTTCCTTAGGAAATTAAAGGTTGATAGTTTAATTGAGTTGTCCTACATTCATTGAGTAAAACTATGGTATTTTATAATAATGTTAAAGAGATTTGTATCACAGCTCTTTGCCTATTTGTGTAATTGTGTGTTACTTTTTGAAAAAAAAAAAAAGAACAATGATAACAGCAAGTGTGGAAATTGAAAGTTGGAACTACTCACAAGGCTTTTTTAGTAGTACTTAATTTAAATTTATAATTTATTGGCTTCTACACTTTTAGTAGTATTTTAATTATAATTTATTAACAAGGGCAAATTTCAATGATAATTGATAACGGCAGTTTCGTAGTTAGTACTTGTCATCATACAACAATTTAAAAAACAGAGTAAAATAAGTAAAAAGATATAAATATAAATAAAATAAACAAAAAAATTACAAAATTTTAAAAAGCCCACTAAGCAGGCCCATAACAAAAAAATCGAACTAACAAAAACCGAACCGAAATAACATAAACCGAACCGAAATAATAAAAACCGAACCGAATTATTTCGGTTCGGTATTTGGTACACGTTGTATAAAAACCGAAAATCGAAAAAACCGAAGAAAAAAAATCGAAATTGAACCGAAATACTGAATGCCCAGCCCTAGCCCTCGTCCCCCCCCCCCCCCCTATCAATTTTATTATTGTTTTTAAAAAATATTTTCAACTTCAATTTTTTATTTTTTCATCCCGATCCTCGATCTCCCACGCCCCCTCCCCGGCCTGCCCCCCCCCCCCCCCAAAAAAAATTGAGTTTGTTTTTAAAAAATATTTTCAACTTCAAAATTTTATTTTTTCACCCCTACACTCGATCCACCCCCCTCCCCCCCCCCCCCCCCAAAAAAACATAATTTTAAGTTTGTTTTTAAAAAATATTTTCAATTTCAAAATTTCATTTTTTCACCCTACCTTGACCCCCTCCCCTCACGCACCTCCCACCCAGCCCCCCACCCCACCTCTACCACCTCCTCCCCCCCCCCAAAAAAATTAAGTTTATTTTTAAAAAATATTTTCAACTTCAAAATTTCATTTTTTCACCCTACCCTTGACCCCCCCCCCACCCACCTCCTACCCAGCCCCCACCCCAAAAAAAAATTAAGTTTGTTTTTAAAAATATTTTCAATTTCAAAATTTCATTTTTTCACCCCAACCTTCGACCCCCTACCCACCCACCCCCTACCAGCCCCCCTACCACCCAAAAAAAATTTAAGTTTGTTTTTAAAAAATATTTTCAACTTCAAAATGTCAATTTTTCACCCCTACCCTCAACCCACCCACCCCCACCCCACCCCCAAAAAAATTTAAGTTTGTTTTTAAAAAATATTTTCAACTTCAAAATTTCAATTTTTCACCCCTACCCTCAACCCACCCACCCCCAAAAAAATTTAAGTTTGTTTTTAAAAAATATTTTCAATTTCAAAAATTATTTTCTACCCTAGTAAAAATAAAAGATATTTCTCAAAAAAAAAAATCATTCATAAATCAAACACTAAATCTTTTTCGGAAAATATTTTCTACTCACCAACCAAACATGAGAAAATAAGTAAAAAATCAACTTGTTTTCCTGCATACCAAACATACCCATGAAGTTGTTTCATTTTTTAGATTTAGAACATCAAATCAACAATTTTACTAGTATTAAAATTCAAAAATCCTAAGAAACCTATGTAACTATAGCATAACGTTGACCGAAAAGAAAAAGTAATGATTTTTTTAAAAAATAATAAAGTATTTGAATATTTTTTATGAGTGTTTTCATCATAGGGCACTTTTTGGACTCTTCAAGTCTTCAGCCGTAATCTTGAATAAGCAATTTAGCCTTTAACTATTTAGAGGAATTGAGAAAATGATTTTATACTTTTATGAAAAGCAAACAGGTTCTATACTGGTATATCATCAAGAATTTGCAAAACATTCGTCAAGGATCACAAACTAGCCAGATCACTGTCTCTTAGGGTGTTCCTGAATAGACTAAAAGAGGAACTTAAAAGTGATGTTAAAATTCACAAAAACAGTTTATAGAAAAGCCAGAACATGACAATTAGATTGAGAAGAACAAAATATTTAATAGATCAATTACAGATTTACCTATAATCATAGGGGAAATGGAATGGAGTCCAGGAAGGCACGAAGGACGAACTGGCACTATCAGGGTTTCTTTATTGTACTAAGAATGAAGCCTAGAAAAATGAATTTCGAGGAAGAATTGGGAAAATTTTGTTCCTTTTTTTTAAGACTACTATGTGTATTGAGTCTCTAACTTCACACATAGTACTCTGCTTGTGTACATTCTACACTTCTATCCATGACGGGATATATATAGTCAAATCTTGCGTACATTTTACGCTCCTATTTTTTATTAGATATATAGACATTTAATTCTCTTTATATCTTTGACTAAATGTATTATTATTGTAATACGACTAATGATTTGCATACATTAACCCTTTTTAGATCTTTGACTAGATATATTGTTGTTGTAATATAATTAATGGTCATTTTTCATTCAATACCGAAAAGCTCTTTTCATTTTATTAATGGTCATTTTTCATTCAAAACCATAAACCTCTTTTCATTTTATTTATTTTTGTCTCTAATGAATTAATATTTATGCATTTTTCATTTAATATTTCTATATAGATAACACTTATTTTGAAACGGTCAAAATAATAAAAATTAGTATTGAATTCATGAAATATAACAAAATAATTTTGTACTATTACTTTTATGATTTGATTGTGTATCATCAATGATATTACAAGTTTTATATCTTCTCTCTTCTTCTTTCTTCATATAATATTTGAAATATTGATGTTAAATAGAAAATTTAATGATTATATATTAAAAAAGAAAAGAAAAGAAAAGAAAAAGGCAAGAATAAAAAGATACTAGGGAATTTGATCTCATCAATAACTGGACATTTATTTGATTTTTCTTTGTTTCATTTCATTTTTTTCTACTTATATAAATAAACTTAGGGAAAATGCATAAGTACCCTCTCAATCTACGCCCGAAATCTCAGAGACACTTATATTATACTAAGGTCTCATTAAACCCCCCCCCCCCCCCCCGAACTTATGTTATAAATAATTTTTTACCCCTTTTCGGCCAACGTGGCACTATCAACCAGATAGCTTGTCAACACGCACTGGGCCCAGAAGATAGTGCCACGTAGGCCGAAAAGGGGTAGAAAATTATTTATAAAATAAGTTCGGAGAGGTAATAAGGCCTTAGTATAGTATAAGTGTGTCTCTGAAATTTCGGACATAGGTTGAGGGAGGGCGGATACTTATGCATTTTCACATAAACTTATGAACAACTTACATTAAGAAACAAGTAAATTTTAGAGGAAGGAAGAAAAAACTTATAACATGTTAAGTTTACATGCTCATTAATTTATATATTACCAATATTTTGTCCTTTTCATATTTATTTTTAAAATTTCAATTTAAATAAGTTTTTCCATATAAGGTTGAAAAGTTTTAAATGGAAGTGAAAAATATTTTTAACAAATTCTTTCTACTAAAGAATTTTCTATAGAATGTTAGAAAAAATTGTGAAAAGATTATTAATGATTAAATTAAAAATTAAAAATGAATTTTTTAAAAAAATTACACCATTATTCGATAATAATCTAATCTAATTTTCTTATTTAAGATCGTGTAGTGCGGACAATAATATTAGTAATGAAAAGAAAAAAATTGGTGACATTTAGTTTTTTTATGATTTGTTTTTCGTGCTGACGTGATTGATGGAACAAAATCAATTGGGGTACTTTTCATGTTCTTTTTTTATGATTATAAAATTCTAATGTAGCTTATGTACATTCCGATAAATTCATTAAATTTTATTATGTCTCAATAACACTAGTATCATATAACTTTATTTCTTTAATAGAAAATATAAGAACAAAAAAAAACTTAATTTACACATTGTAAAGTTTGGCTCATTTATATCATGCTTCGTAAATATTCAATTATTTAGGTGTACATGTTTTACTTTGATAACCATTGGGTAAAAACTTATCCCTATTGAGTTTGCACCAAATAAGAATTGAGGTGGTTGTACTCTTCAAGAAGAATAAAATGAAAAATATATTTTATCTTGAACTTCTAAAATAATAAATAATTTGAGATAACTATTAGTGTATTAAAAATACGATAAATAATTTAAGAAAAAAAGAGTAATAATTTTTAGGAAAAAGGTCAAAATTTTCCTCAGAATATGTGAAATTAATGTTATATTTTTTCTCCACTGATGATTTAGTTAAGCCCAATAATCTTATTTCAAACAGAACCTAATGGAGCATGATTAAAAATATAATTAGTGTTAATTAACTTAATAGTCTATTAGATTTGCCATGCACTTTTTGAGTGTAATATATTTGCATTCCTTCAAATAAATTGCAAAAAACTAAACTAATATAAGTATTTTATGGGAAACTTTTTTACTCAAGAGAGTAAAAACCTACGACCTATCTGTATTTGACTGTTTCGAAACTTTGCAATAGTTTATAGCAGCCCTTTGTAATACCTAAAGAACTGTTTCCAATAGTTTTGCCTCTACTCAATCTCTTAATATCCAATGACGCTACTTTATAAATGAATTCCATAATATAAACAAGATAATACCTACTACAATCTGGATGTAATATCAATCAAGATCTTATCTTGGAGCTCGTACAAGAAAACAAGTCATCACAAAATA